CCTTTCCATCCTTGGCAGGATGCATAGGAATGGAAAACTGTCACGTAATTAATTCCCTTAGGACAATAACAAAAACAATTCATATCCACATCAAAGTTAAAAACCGGATTCTTCAAAGAAGAAATGAACTTCTGCAAGAACAAACAAAACTTGTTTCCTTTGGGAACAGTCACAAACACATGTTTCTTCCTTCTCAACTGCCACTCAATCACATTGCAACATAGCAACCAAATAGAAGCTCTGTTTTGTTTGGGAGAAGGGTTGTTGATCACTACACAGTGTGGCTGCAATCTCTCAAGTTGCTGCCAAATAGCATCTTGACCCTTCAGAGTGGAAAAGTTGTATCCTGCCTTGAAATCCATAGGAGATGCAACTCTAACACCATTCTTTGAAAGGAACCAAGATAATCCACTGTTTCCATGAAGTAACTCAACAACATCAGGATGATCATCATTACAAAAGAAAAAGGACTGTTCTCCGAATTCGGCATCAACATACAGTTCGTGATCTTCACGTAAGTTCTCCGGATTCTCATCGTCTAGTGCCGGAATGGAAACATCATGCCACTCATCGTGATCACGTCTAACCTTTGACTGATTCACACGTACCACTGCCTTACCAGTGTTGGCTTGGACCATAGCTCCTTCTTGTCCAAGTACTGTGGCACGAACCCAACGTCCTTTATGCTTGAACTTTGATGAATCCTGAGTCCAAATAAAAACCTTCTCTCCTTGGAAATAGGGACCGTCACTTGGCATAGTCCTTCTTGCAAGATCTGCTCGAAGGTCCTGAGCTTGTCGTGCTTCTTGATGAGCTCTCAAGGCTACACGTTGTAGTTCCAGATTTGTACGATCTTGTGCGGCTGCACTAGCTGACAATTGCTCAGGGCTTGCGGTCTCAAGGTCAAAAAGATCTGGTGGACGTCTTCCAGTTGCTATCTCTATTGGTGAATATCCACTGATAGTCAACTGACAATTTCTTGCCCACGCTACTTTCTTGACCACTTCTCTGACCGTAACACCACGAAAACGTGGGTCACCCAGATCTACTTTCATAACGTGCCACATACGTTTGAACAAACGTACAGCTGTCTCTGCTCGGTTCGGCCAAGGAGTTCTTGGCCCACAAGGACATTGTTGTATACCATGAAACCTGTAGTATTCAACAAAAGCATCTGTGAAAAAGGCTTCGTCTCCTACGATGGCCTTCGGAACACAATTGTTCTCATCAGACCACTGCCTCAATGCTTGGATGGTGGTTTGATCTATGTGGTCTTTCTGTGCCGTAGCCCAGAGAAGATTTGTGGCACCATCAAGAACAAGTAGAATGATATACTTGTTCTTGTGAAGTTCAACCTCACAATGATCAGCAAAAACAACATCACCAAAACATGAAGCTCTAATACCGGAGACTCTGGCTCGTGGCGGAGGTGCCACCGAAGTGTTACAAACACGGCAGTTCCTGACAACTGATTCATACTTCTCTAAAACAGAGTCAGGAAGCTTCAACATAGAAACACGTCTACGAAACTGAGTAGGACTCATATGGTAGTGCTTCACATGAAGCTTATAAAGCTCTACCTTGTCCTCCAGTCTCTGCAACATCTTCCTATATGCCGGTGTCATTGCAACAACTTCACTACCAGGTAATGGGATTGAAATCCGCCTAGGCTCAAGAGCGCCATCACCTGGTTCAAGTGGTTCATGTTTATCACTTGATGGTCCTTTTGATGCTTTAGGAATTTCTACAAGTTCACCTTCTGGCCTCTCAGGTGGTTCTGAGGGAGTATACCCTTCAGGATCATCACCCTTTAAATCATGTGGAGGATCAGATGGTTTCGACTTGTGTCCTTTCCAAAATGGATCAAAACCCTTGGATGTATACCGAAACTTTGGCGGCACAGGCTTTTCCGCGGCACTGGATGGTACACCTTCCTTCTCTGAAGAGAAGCCTGGTTCCCTGTCCTTTGCAATGGGAACCTTCTCTGAGGAGGAGCGCACCACTGCATCGGGATCACCAATGCCACGGTGCTCAATGCCAGCCTTCCTGATCTTTAGACCTGGAATTTTGGCATATGGCTTGAACTTAAAAATTGTTCTACCACGCCATTCATAGCCAATTTGTAGGTCCTTCCATTTTGCCTTGCGCCAATCATCTTGCTTCTTGATCTCTTCTCCTCCTTCTTTCTTCTTGATGATTGTCAGTCGCAAGTCTTCCAGCAAGTCAGTGTCTACAGGACAGGACTTAGTTGCTGGGAAAAGAATCTTCCTGTAATCCTTGTGGTGACGTATCAGTTCTCTTTTGTGAACATCTACTTCCCAGTAATCAACCACAGGATATGCATGCTCAGCTTCATCTTCATCACTATTGTGATCAACAGAAATATGGCCATATTCATAGTGAGTGAAGTGAGAGTAAAAACTCTTCTCACGCCGAGCCTGTAAACGCACGTCAAACAAATACCATGCGATATCTTGGAAGTCCAATACAAGATGAGTACTGGCTGCAACCTTTGATACCAAGAGGCATCGATGTCAGATAAGCATGTTGAGGTGTCAGCCTGAGTTCAAATCCTAAGTTCCTCATCTGTGGCAAGCTCATAAGCAAAGGGACTTCTCCTTCTTCCACTATGTCGAACTCTGTATGGTGGATCGTCCATGCACGATCGTACATGTAAATCACCAGTTTCTGAGAGCAAGAAGCCTTCTGAGAGTTGGCAAAGTAAAACTTGCTCTTGGTAGACTCAAAAGAGTACCATAGTCCACAGTTTGGGTGATTGTCGACATAGTTACAAAAATAATCGACTGCACGCCTTGATCCCATAGCTCTAGTGCATCCAATGTCCAGGATTGCAATAGTTGGCGGGAAGCGATTCTCAGTCAAAAATGAAATAGCCTGCATCTCATTCACCTCTTCCTCAGCGCTCATAAGCGCAAAGCCATCAGGAGCACTTGTGAGCATCTCCTTTGACAAAGAGTACCTCACAGGGGCACTCATGCCATCGAAGATCATCTCACCATTGTTGACCTTACAGTCAGCTTCATCTTGACATGAGGTCATCATGCCTGACAGCAAGTTCACCTCACTGTCACTGACTCCAGCTGCTGTTGTCACACAATGCGCCAAGAAACCTTGGTGGCTTCCTGATGCTTGGGAGGATCTTGAAGGTGCAGGCAAAGAACGTGGCTGTTGTTGATTTGCATAGTTTGCATCTTGCTTGCCATCTCCTTTATCTTTTCCTTTTCCTTTCTTGCCTTTTCTCTTGCCTTTTCCTTTTCCTTTGTGGGAAAACCATGCTTCTTCAAGTTGTTGCCAAAAGTCATTGGCATCTTCATGTTCTCCTTGAAGATAGTCATTCATATCTTCGGCAATAATGGCATCATAGGCTACTTGATTTGACTCCCAAGTGTCCTCATAAGGATTCTCTTCATAATACTCTTCTGGATAAGTTGGCGATTGCTCATCAGCATAATGGCCTTTACCTCGTCTCTTTCCTCCTTTTCCTTTTCCACGAGGTCTGAAAAATCTGCGGCCTGATCTTCCTTTGCCTTTTCCTTTTCTTCTTCCTTTTCCTTTGCCTTTTCTGGCTCTTCTTCCTTGGAATCTCCTCTGGAACCAAGAGAAATTCTGGTCATCATATACCCAAAAGACATCGTCCAGGGCATCAAGAAATCCTTCTGCTCCATCTTCTTCATCTTCGGCCCAATAGCCATAAGTACCATCGAGTTCTCCTTCATCAAGCACGAGAAATGATCTCCTACCTCCAGCACCTGTCGGCTGCATCAGAGGATTGTCTACTGAAGTCTTTGTCGCGCAGAACATCTCAATGAAAACTGTCCTCAACTCTGTTGTGGTATATTGCTGCAGGACCCTACCACGATGAGTCATCAAAGAAGTCAAAGTGTTCCTCTGGTCCTGAGACAAATCTGCAAGTGACAGCATAAGCAAGGCAATGAGATTTTCTCCTAAAATGAAAGGTTCTCAAATTGCCATTGATAGTCTGCATGATTTCCTGAATTCTTTCTGCTGTTGGAGCTACTCCATGTATCACTGCATCAGCTTGCGTCTGAGCTTGTACCTGAGGATGTGCTTGTGTAACTGGCTCTAACATGTCCATCCAACTGCTCATAAGCCTTTGGAGTAAAATCTGAAATCTTGTCATCCATTTCATCATGTCAGCTGATCCTCGATTGAATCGCACGAATTGCATAAACCTATATAGGAATACATTGGTTGATCCTTTCACAAAATATGGTCGTAGTACTCGCTTGAAATAATCTACTGCAGCTCCTGGTGGATCATTCGCCTTCAATGCATCTCTGTCTAGAACTCGTTTGTATACAGCTGCTTCTCCTTCTAATCTGTTTCTCAATGCTGGTCCTCTCTTCTCATCCTCCAGCTCGGTGATATCACACCAATCGTCTATGGCATCCTCATAGGAAAACCACGAAGTCTTTCCATCATAAGATGGGGGCACCTTTGTAGTGACCTGTGTTGTCATTGCTATAGCTGCTGGTTCTCTTCTCACATGCCTATTCACATAGGCTGCTGGCTCATAAGCCACATCCGCATCAGGCTCTTCCCAGTCGTCAATCCAATCCATGGCCTTTTGCCTACAAGCAAGTCTATGCCTAGGAAAGGAGCTCACCTGGGTCTTCCAGGATCACTGCTCCGCTACCACTGAAAGAGTGACTAGGGCGTACACGGTTGAGGTGCAGACCGCTAGTGTCTTTTATGCGCAGAGTCTTATCCTCTTGTCTCTTGAGCCTTATGGCAGTCAAGCATGGACACACTAGATAGGCCACTGGAGTGGAACCTGTACAAGTAGGCTCTACACTTCAGGGGGGGGGGGGCGTCAGGCTGTCGATAAATCCGCGCGGAGAGACAAACCGTAGATTGAAACCAACACAAGCAATACTAACCAAAACAATCCACAAAACACGCCGGCAGGCCGGCGGACCTGTTTGATTGTTGTTTTTCAGTTGGCCCCACTTCAGCAGGCTGAAGAAATACAGCAAGGCTACGTTTTACCGCCTTGGTGAATGCCTGAGCGGATGTGATGGAGAGGTTGACCCTTTGCGATGAAGAATGAACGCTCACGAAAGCACGTTATAGTTTTGTTTGAAGTTCTCAAGTTAAATCTAGAATCTAGCAGAGACAGTCTAGCAGCTAGCAACAAAGATTATAGTTAAATCCAAAGGCTTCCTTTGCAGGTCCTTAGGTATGTTTGAGCAGCTTTGAGCGAATGTTTATATCCTGCTACTATGTAGCCGTTTCAACTGCTGTACAGAGTCTAGAGTAAAATGCTGGCTTCAGTGGCACCCACACTAGTGGCAGTGTTCTTGTGGCCGTTTGCCAGTAGCCTTTGTCACTATGCAACATTGCTCATGCCCGTGGGGGTGTTGTTGAACCTATCTGTTTGGTGCACGAGCACCAACTTTCAAAGGCAACCTTATGGTTTGCCAGCACTGGAAGCATGGGCATTCTGAGCCCATGTCCAGCAGGTCTTGCCATAAGTGACAAGTGTTTTCAAGGCCTTTTGACCGCAAGCTGGACATTTTAGTCAACGCGCGTCGCCGAAAAGTCGAGAGTCGCTGGAGGTCGAAAAGATTTGGGTTCTTGTCCTGGAAGTGGCTCTGTGACAAAGCAAAGGTGACAGGACCTGGGTAGTCTCCAAACGCCGGAAAATGGTGTTTGGGAACCAAAATCGGTTGGCTAAAAGATGGTCCCAAGAAACCTCGTGATTCTTTTCCTTGCCACTAACAAGAGACAGGCGGCATGTCGATCCAGGAATTCAACCGAAGCCTCCCAGCTCATGCTTGGAAAAGCTTGGAATGAACAGCTCTAACAGAAATAATGCAGGAGAGGTTTGATTGAAAGGTCCACATGCTGAACGAATATCTCATGTTGAAATATATCAGTGTGAGGTACATCAACAATACGCACACATATTGCAATCGAGCTTGTACCATAATATTCATCGAGCTTGAAATGATACGTTATCACAATAAAAGAGACACCGTAATAGAGGGATGCCAGCAAACGCGCTTGATACGCTTTGTCTTCCACGCATCTTGCCATGGATGACAAGACGTTGGGCACTGCCACAGGAGGCAGGGGCGAGGCGGGCAGAGCGGCCCCTTAGGCACCTGCAGTAGGGGGAATACGCAGGAGGAAGCAGACAGGGTGAATAGTACTTTGTGCATCCATTTACGCCATTGCGTTCCTCAGCTTCTAAAGAGTTCCAGCCGCTTCTGTAGTTCTCCAGGTTTTGTTGTTTACCTCGTTTTGACTTGCGATTGAAACCAATCCTCATCGAAAACGCAGATATGGCAGTGGGTCAAAATCCAAAGCCCCAAACCAGAGTAGGTTGACCTCCCAGGTAGTCTGTTCTGTTCATTCTTGGTAGTCAACCAGGGTGTCCCGGGTTTGACCCACAGCCATATAGTGATCTCTGATCTCACCTATTGTTTGCAGTTTTGTTTTCCTTTTTGATCTCTGTCATTCTTGGTCCCTTTACATGACTGACAGCCCACCCTCGGATAGCTTATAAATGTACCTCAAAAGCGTGAGAGACTGGAATTTTGATTATGGAGTGATTTGAGTGGCGGACCAAGACGTGCTAGTAATGACCTTAGCTTCTGGAAAGCCTTTGGCCGTTCCAACATGATCGATCTGCTTGCAGCTTCTACCCTGCGCCTTTCCAGGATTTCTTCTGCATTTTGCACGGCGAACTTCTGGTGGCAGCTCTACCGGGCTGCGTCAAGGTCTTTCGTGGAACACCTGGTGCTTGGAGCGATGGATGGGAGCTCCGTAGGAGCGAATTCTGCGGAGTGTCTTTGAGCCAATTCCCAATTGAAGAGGTTCTGCTTCGTTTGCCAAAGGTGGAAATCATATAATTAAGTACCTAAGTCTTACGTACCTATGGCATCCGTCAGCATATTGCCAAGTGCAGTTTTGCAATGTGTTTTCTTGTCAAGAGATTTTCAGATTCAGAGAGGATTCCCGAAAGCATTGTGTATGATGTCTCGATTGATGTCTCCGGAACCTTTGTGGCAAGTGCCTGGCAGGCTCGATCATTTCTGGTTGAGACTTGTGAGTCTGTGTGGAAACAAGACACAATAAAGCGCTATGAAGGCCATGAATCCATCGATGAATGGGCCTGTGAATTTCAGTTTTTTGTTCATTTCGATATTCAATTGCTTGCAGATGTAGCAATGTAGTATGATCTGCTTGTATCGTGATCTTGCCCCAGACGGACTCATCACACACCGCCAAACGATGCAGTAGGATGGCACCATCGCTGTCGATGCAGTGGAGACGATTCCAGGGGCCCAAGTCCGTTCTTGGAAAAGCTCCATGCCAAAGCCGGTCCCAAAGCTCAGAAGTTGATGTTGTCAAGTCTTGCTTGTTCTTTGGGATTTTGATCCCTTCTTTTTGGATGTTGATTCTTCTGATCTTTTCTGCTGTTTGATGGCTTTGAGTTTTGGCAAAGCTTTGGCAGTTTTCAGAGCCATCCGTCCCTGCACCGGTGCAGTGTGCAGAGGTGTTGAGCATTGCCATCTACCCAGGCTACGCAGAGGCTGACCCGGAAAGTTGCGGCACGTGACATGCACATGTCATTGACGGATGCTGGGACATGGTAATCTCCTGCACAAGTGATCCAGCATGTTGGAGGCTCCAGGCCGGCGAGTGGTTTGCTGCGGTGGACAGGAGCCTGTGCATCCAGGGTCTTGCTGTGGGTCACACCCCCTGCACCCAAGGAACACATCCCAACAGTCGCAAGGTAAGGGAGGTTCGCTGCCATATCTATGCCTAGACGGGTCATGAAGTATGCATTACAACTCTGTGGAGTTTGTTATTGTGAGGCTTCAACTAACCCAAGAAGCCCAAACCAATTGAAGCGCACGTTTGTTTACTTCGTGAAGGACGGGCGCCTTGTGCTGAGCCGCCGTGGTGCACTTGTGACTTTGGCTACACGCGTTATGGTCAGTATTCTTTGGAATTTCTGGAAACTGCGTGTGATGACTGGTATTTCATTGGGCACCCGATTAGGCATTTGGAGTGAAGGGACTTTCAGTGAACCAGTTGGTGCTCCTGGCATTCTACATCGCAGCATTTGCCAAAAGTAGGTGTTCAAGACTTCAATTTCACCGGCTTGGCTTGAAAAGTGAAGCACTTTCTTGTGCTTTCTACCCACATATGTGTATAATAATACAATATAATACATTACATTGGTTCTCTATGTTTACAACTTATAGATATGCGTACTGAACTGACAGCGGTGCAACACGCCAGCCTAAGTGAAAAACCTAAGAAACCAAGGTGAGTAAAGGGAAAGCTCCACCAATCTCCAAAGCTGAAAGTTCTGAAGTCACGGTCTCCAAAGCTCAACGACGGTGAGGTCAGCACTAGACAATTGCTGCAAAACACAGAATTGGAACAGCTTGTCCATTACGTAGGTTTCCTTCCAAGCAGGTACGTCAATCCGGCGTCCCGGATTGATTTCACAGATGCAACACTGGCGTCTTCGTTGGTGCCAGTCCAGTGTGCATCCCTGGCACCCCCTGCTAAAACAATTCAAAAGAATCCCTGTGACTACAAGGGGCACACACACACACTTAGGATATTGTGTACTGAACTGAATGCGGTGCCACACGCCGGCCTAAGAGACCCAAATCCTGAAAGGTCCAGGAAAGTCCTAAAGAACCTGGAGGTCTGTAAGAAGAAGTGAGGCCAAAAGCTCAAGGTCGAAGACGGCGAGCGAGTCGAACAAGGTGACGGCGACTTGCGCACATCTGCAGAAAGTGAACCAAATCCCTAAGCAACACTGTGTCGTGAGGTTCTCGGCTTAGCCTCTTGCCATTCGGAAAAAATGCAGGTACGTTCCCGAGGCGTCCCTCAGGAATATCACAACACGATGGAAGGGTCTTCGTTGGGCAATGCCTTCCAAAGTGTTCATTGCCCCCCTGCTGTGGTAAAACTAGAAAGTGAGAAAGCAAGCTGAGCAAATCCAAAAGGATCCCTATGATTCCAAGGGTTACACACACACACACACGCATGTATATATATATATATAACTATATATAGATACACATACACCTTTTCCTTCTACCACATCCTTTTTGGCTTTCTTGAACTTGTCAAGGAAGCAAAGCATGCGACGCTTCACTTGGGCGAAGGACCTATAAGCTGCGTTCGTTGGCGGGGACCCTTGGTGGCATGGGCCACAGCCAAGAGCGTGAAGCTGGTGGATGTGGACACTCATCAGAAGGCACTGACAGAATGGTTCAGCTGCTGTACAAATTGCACATAACTCGAGAGCCCTAGTGCCAACTTTAAGCCTTGTATGTATGCCTTGCATGTCAGGTAGGATTCATTCCGTGCTCATCAGCCCAGACTGGCGGGGGCCACCTCTGTTGGCTCAGTGACACAGCCCTTCTTATTGGCTGGGATCAGGACAGGAGGGACAGATCCATCAGATGTTGTCACGCTGACATGGACGAAGAGCGACGCTGTAAAGCTGCGAGAAGACAGATAGCATCCACATCATTGCCATCCTCCAGTACAGACCATCCTCAAGTAGACAGAATATGACAGAATCTGGAAAAGTCAAGCGCAACAGGGACGTTGCCATACCAGTTAGGTGCCATAGTTGTTGTATGCTGCCCTCCGTATTCAGCCATACCTGCATGTGCTTGGAGTAGATGTTGGTCCTTTGTTTGTTTCCAGGAGGTGCTCTTAGTGGAGCTGCGACAAATGGGTGATGGTGTGGCAGTGCACTTTGCGGAGGTTCTGCGGAAGATGCCTGTTCCTGGCGAGCTAGTGAGGCAACTGGCACAGCTGGCGACTCGGCTGGAAAGGGCAGGTGACATATCAACAGGAAAGATGATGAAGGGATCCCTCAAGCTTCAGGAGAGAAAAACATACTAGACTAACTAGAGGCGGTTTTCCCTCCCTTTTCTTCTTTTTTGGCTTTAAGAAGAGAGTGTATTGCTTGCAGGGTCTGTATTGGCCTCCTCTGGAGGAGGCGTAGAGTAGGGTCCAGATGCGAGTCTCTTTTGCAAGAAATGTTTCATGGTCATGTGAGTGATGAGTCGTGCATTTTTCTCAGGACAGTGCCTTGACACCTTGCCCCACAGCCTTGATGGCTGCTCTGGCACGATGGCCTAGACGTGCCAAGCCAACTGCTGCGCTCATGGCCAATTTGCAGCGGGCGCGCTCAAGTTGCTGTTCTGGGAGCTGCCCATTCCGACATTTCCGATCTGCCCATTGAATGCTCTTGAATTCGACATGTTTGCAGCCACAAAAGCACGTGCATCGACAGGCGCTTCGCCCTGGGGAGAAAAGCCTTGAAGGCAGGATATTTGGCTTTGGTGAACCGTTCCCAATTTATCATCGAACACGAAACCTGGAGTGAAGTTTCTGCTACGCACCGCTCTACAACTTATGCTTGCTATTGTGACCGCCTGAGCTTGCTGTGATGTGCAGGATGTCTTAGCTGGGAGCCACAGGGTGATGAGCCAGAGGATGTCCTCAATAGTGACCTTGTCCTTTATTCACAAGACAGGGCGGTGTCATGATTCATCAATGCTGATGGATTTCATTGCAGGAACAGGCTGCAGAAGTCCTCGCTTCTTTGCACGAGACACGAGGCACCGGCGCTGGGTCAAAGGACAATACGGACCGTGATTTGTTCATTGAGCCAGCTTGAATCCTCTTCTTGGTGAGGTGATGTGGAAACTGCGGCACGGCTCCTGGCACGAGCCAAGAGCCCTCGAGTCTTTCCCTTGCTGAAGAAGCACCTGCCTGCAGGTGCACAGACGCGTGACCTTTTGGTAGGTTCCTGCAACGCATCCTCAGGCCACTTTTCTGGAGCCGCTGCAGCGCTCCCACAGCTGGTTGCCTTGGATACAGCTGAGGCGATTCGCCTAGCAGCATCTTGGCGATCATTGGCCCCCGACACTTTGGGAAAGATGTGAAAGCATGTAAGCTACTAGGAGCAAGGACGCTACTAGGGGCAAGGACGCTACTAGGAGCAAGGATGCTACTAGGGGCTCCTGGCATCGCTACTAG